AATTACTCAGAGTTACAAAAGTTTACAGCAAAATAAACGTTTATCAAACCTTTTTTTCTCAAAAAACACCTTTTTGTTTCTTATTTTAAAAAAATTGCTTAAAAATTATCTTGTGTAAATTTACAGTGCTGAAACGCATGTCAAGTCTAACATTTTTCGTTGTAGGTAATTGTTGCATCTACATAAGTTTTCTTTCTAAAGAGAATCAGAAATAATAAACATATGCTATAACTTATTTAACTGTATAACCCCTTTCACCGCCGCCTACACCCGGTGGTGCAACCACGTTTTAGAGGTCTGGTCGTCAGTGTCTTAGAACAATGTTTTAACCACAGGTTACACTGGTCAATGCTGACGCTGTTCCAAGCTAGTTGTTGGTCGCTGGCCGCTTCGATCCACACCAACTCTGCCCACGCTGTGTTCTTGATCTCAGAGCAATGAAAAATCGAAGGTCGTAGTCTCGCAGCAATGGTTCAACCCGTGGCGGATGTTATATTAAGGGAAATATCTTCACAGCGAAAAATAAAACGAAAGATTCGTGGGGTTATACTTTAACTGGTTTATGTAGCTCTTGGTACAACAAAAATCAACCCTTCCTGCATCAATCTCTGTAGTAACACTGTACCTTGTCTAAACTTCTGATGGGCCAGGTCTGAATGCGGGATCTTAGCCCAAAGTCTCCATGCTGCCCAAAGTCATCTGTTTATATGCACTTCGGTCCAAAACTAGCGTGGGGCCGAAGAGTTCTGAGTGTTCATTAATTCCAATAAAGGTTTTCTTTCTCCTCTATTTCTGCTTTCTTAATCAATATCTGTCTATATTTCTGAGATGAGGTACTGTAATTATTTACATTATTTACATTGTTCAGACTGTTGTCCTTATCTTTATTGCTATATTCACAACGTTTCAGCCGTTGTACACTCCGACCTCTTTCAAGTGATTGAAATTTCGAATTGAACTCCTTATTTCGAAACCAATGCTTTTATCCACGCTTTTATCCACTGGGCTACGTGTCCTTAAGGCTCAGCATTGGTTGAATCCAGTGACTGTCTATATTTCTGAGATGAGGTATTGTAATTATTTACATTGTTCGGACTGTTCTCATCTCATTCACGACATTTCGACCTTCTTTAGGTGATTGGAATTTCAAACTGAACCCTTTATTTTGTCCACCGGGGCAGATTGTTCTAATTCTACGTGTCATGCCGCTTGAGGTGTGTTGAGTTAAAGGGGGATAACTGAGATATCCGAAAGAGACACGTGGAAGTAGAAATAATAAAATGGACAAAATAAAGAGTTCAGTTCGAAATTCCGATCACCTGAAGAAGGTCGGGGCATACAACAACCGAAACATCGTGAATATGGCAATAAAGATGAGAACAACAGTCCGAACCATGTAAATAATTTCTTATTCAACTATGATGCCACCCAGATGGCCCTTTCTTCACTTTCACATTATCAAGGAAAATGTCTTCAATTAATATTAAGATTAATAATTTTAGTTCGTACTCATTTTCCATCCCAACTGATGGCTTTCCTGAGAAAGCAAGTCTTATTACACCGCCACTAACCTCAGCGTTTTTGTCGATTAAAAAATTAAAAACATTCAAATACCATACAGAATATTATCTGGATTATTTTAATTTTTCTTCTCGTTTCCGATTCTTTATTGATAAATGTTTCAAGCACAACAGTGATACCTTCACATTCTACACACTGTTTTAGTTCTCAGGATCAATTTTTTCACTCTTTCGATTTCACTCTGTGGTCTGAGGGAAAGGTAATGTTTACTATCTGACATATTCTTTTTCTATTTATTTACGATTACTAAACATGGTCACACGGTATAGACTGAGGAATATATCAAAATGACAAAGAATTTTCTATTTTCTAAGATAGTTTCTGTGCTGTGTTTGTTCAATTTGTATGCGTTGTCAAATCTAAGTCATTTGTAGTCTCTACTGAATTACCATTTCTAGCCAGTTAGTCCTCTTCATTCGCTTAGATGATTCAGTGTTTAATTATATTTTCAAGCCATGGCCTGACATCTCAGCTTCGGTCACTTTCCCACCGCCTTTTGTACCTTTCTATAAATATTTTTATGGTAAGTATTCTGATGAGCTTTCCTCTTTGGTATCTAGACTTTATGAATGTAAGCACGGTACGAGATTGGTTTTACAGTTGCAATAGATACATGTAACCTTAGGTTCTATGATAACGGTTTCTTGGTGGCAAAGTCTCATCATTTTACAGTTGAAATGGCTAGATGTAACCGTAAATTCTGTGTTGACAGTTTCTTCTCTCGCATTTCTTGCTTGTGGAACTCTCTTTCGACTTCTTGATTTCCAGTCAACTTTAATCTTCAAAAATTTAAATGCAATGTTAATTGTTATCTTTTGTTTTCTTAATAACGTCTTTTTTTCTCATATTCTCTCATACCCAGTAACTTCTTGCCTCTTAGTGACTTTATTGCCGTGCCTGGAGTGAAATATATATATATATATATATATATAAACATAAAACATTAGGCAGCATATAATTTACATACAATGAAATAATCACACATAGAATCAATCAGAAGTATTAATGCGATTATTGGCGACATCCATCGCTAGAAAACATAATATATGCATTAAAATACTGTTCATCCTTAGTGCGAGTTGATCCTCGTTGATAAACTTGTTGTCTGTAGTTTTCAGTTTATTTGATTTTTTTATTTCAGTTTACGAATAGTCTTCTATTCATCATCAGGCATGTGTGTTTTTCCTTATAAAATCAAAAACTTGAAGACGATATACCTGTATGTCGACCGAAAGATGTTTTTTGAATATCTGCTATTATTGACGGTTGTGTAAGATCTCGGAACGTGCAAAGACGCAACGCTAAGTTTTTCAAAATTTTAAGTGAGAATTTTATTTAAATATTTCTTGTGATGTGTTAAATCCACGTATTCTATTTTTACAAGTGTATTCAGTTTTTATGTCATGAACTAAGTCTATAGTTAAATAATATAGTGTAATGTCTTAGTAGTAGTTTTTTTTATAGGAATTTTTTATGTACTGCGGATCTATAGTTTTTTCGTAAGTACTAGCATTTTAACATCAAATAAACTGAAAACTACAGACAACAAGTTTATCAACGAGGATCAACTCGCACTATGGATGAACAGTATTTTAATGCATATATTATGTTTTCTAGCGATGGATGTCGCCAATAATCGCATTAATACTTCTGATTCATTCTATGTGTGATTATTTTTTTGTATATATATATATATATATGATATATTTGTCGCATAAATATATCCTGAAAATATCAATTCAGTTTATACCAATAATGCGAACATTAATTTACTTAATAAAACCTGACATCATGTACGGCTATTAAATATTAAATACTTTCGTGTGATATATTGTTTTACTCGAATATCAAATATGCAAAAAAGTAAAAATAAATGTTTACTACGCGCGAGCACGCGCGTGCGTGTTTAATTTTCGACCTCTTATCTGTTAAATTGTTAAGAATTATAAATTAGTTTCTTTTGCTTGATTTCACAAATATTATTCTTTCTCTTTTATTGTTTTAAAGAAGTCAAAATAACATAGCAACTGAAAGATAACCCTCAACTTTCCTTTCAGTTCCCTCGCATTTGAATCCTATAAATTTTGTCTTTGCATATTAAAAATATTTTTTTTTATATTATAAATAGTTTTTTATATATACTATATTATAAATAGTCATGTTATAAAATGCTCTAAGAGTTTCGGGTCACTTGACTTGATAAAACTTGCATAATGAACTTTTGTCGACAAGAGAATAAGTTTAGGTATAAATCAAAGACAACTTTATGAAATAGGAAATGGCGGCCCACACAGTAGCAACTTAAAAAGAATATAACAAAATCTGATAGCTGCAGCTTAACTTACCAATCAATCCTGTTACCTGGCTTAATCCTCACTTAGATTTAGTATTTTGGGTGTTGCACAGATTATCTAAAACTTATTTAATCCAATCAAGTCTAAGGTCAAGTTTATAGCAAACTCAATGAGTTTGACATTTTCTTTATTTTTTTCGCTCTATCATAATATAAGTCTGAATATTATTTCATTTCATTGAATGACGTTTGCTAACATCGAAAACAAAGGAATTGTGAAGTCGTGACATCTTTCATGGTGTGTATAAACGTTTAATCTTTTTTCCACTTTTTATATCTCCAAGTAAAAAGATGTTATTTGGATTGCCACACAGTCATAAAGTGTCATACAGAAATTATCAATATTCTTAACCCTATATACATGTAGGCATAAAAATATGTGTATGAAAAGTATATATATATATATATATATATATATATATATATATATATATATATATATATATATATATATATATCATGTAACAATATATAGGCATACACACAAATGCGTATAAGATACGCGCATATTATTAAATGCTGAAAATGAATTCTAACCTTACGTTTTCTTTTATGTCATATGATGTTTATATTTATTTCTTATTTTATATAGAAAATAATTGCTTTAGCAAAGACGTTTTTGAATGTCTCCACATTGGCATTGTAAAATTTACAGTACAGTTTGTAGTGAGAGTTTCAATTGCGATCGTGTAGCTTTTTACACTTTGAAGGGAATATTTCTGATTAGTTCACTTATTCAAATTCTAAATGGATTTTTTACATGAACATTCAGTTCATAAATTTGTAATATATTGGTAAAACATTTGAAGTTCCATAGATATGATTTTTTGTAATGGTAGGAAAAATATGCAATTAGAGTGGTTTGCTTGTTTCTCTTTTCAAATTCTGAAATTTGTATTTTTGCTTAGTTTATCCGGTAAATTGCATGAATTTCTACCAGCTTTTGTTGTAGATTTCTTAAACCATTTTCATTAACTAGAAAATAGGTTTACGACATTAACATCAAATAGCCTGATTTCAGTAGTTTCCAGGTAGTGTTTTATTTAAAACTTTAGGCTTTGAAAAAATGTGCGTAACAAAATATTTATTCGCTTCTCATCGTACACCCCCCTCTCTCTCTCTCTCTCTCCCTCTCTCTCTCTCTCTCTCTCTCTCTCTCTCAATGTATGTTTATGTAAGTGTATTTACTTGACCCCGAATTGAGTCAAGTTGTAACACAAGGTCTGTTTTTAACGTGGGGACCCGAGTGTTTTCACTCGGGCCGCTGGTCTAAGCTGATCTTAGCTGGTCATAGCTTGTCCAAGCTGGTCAGAGCTAGTCTAAGCTGGTCAGAGCTGGTCTAAGCTAGTCATAGCTGGTCCAGGCCAGAGCCGGTCCAAGCTAGTCGTAGCCGTGATACTACCAGCAACAGTGTCAGGTAAGTATGTATGTTTATGTAAGAGAAAGGAAAAAGTTGTTTCATTTATATACAACCATTCATGTGTGTGTGTATATATATGTATGTATGTACGTATTTTCACAGTGGTGCTGAAAAGTTATTGGCCTGGCACACTTTCCAAAATCTGACCTAAACATCAGAATTATTGTTTAGGTTGAAAAACTTTTAGCACCCCTCGTAATGTCGTGCGCTCACTCATACTTTAAAACTATTCTATCGTTCTTCCACTTTTGGTTGGTATTAAATTGATCGATAGATACAATTGAGAGACTGGGGGTCTTTGCCACAAGTCTGGCGCAGATGAAGTAAGAAAGATCAATTTCAAGCTATATTCTTTTATCGAGAAATCTTTTTATAAAGTCCGCCTAACAAAAATGGTATAAATCAAGGTTTTTAAAATGAAAGAGTTTTAATTTGTTATTTATCGTATAGATATATTTGTCACTTGTTTTCATATCTTGATTTTTACTGTGGTAGCCTATCAATTATTCGATGCTAGCAATGGTTAACATTTTACGCCTGTTTAGCCGAATGATCAACTGCGTGAAAAGGATTCCTTTATACAGATTTCCAAGTATTTTCCAATTGTTGGCTCATAACGATAAACAATCTTAATTAATATTGATAATTGAACAGGAACAACATTTACAAGGTTTAGATGTACATGTGAGTTATTTATTGATTTGGTTTGTAAAAAAATCTAGGCTTTATCCAAAAAGCCAAGTTGTTTAGGAGTGTTAATACAAATACTCAGGGAAACTATTTTCTCAGTAATACTTACAATTCCTAAGTCAATGTTATAGTTCATTTATAAAGAATACAAGTTTTAGCATTAAAATTAACCCTGTGCAATTTATCAAGTATTTCTTAATAATACTGTTTCTTTATCACATTCTACCTTCCATGTTCTAATTTATCCTAAGAATCATTGAAACTGTAGCATTTATTCAGATGAATAATTGCACGACGAATAATATTTATTGATTATTCGTTATTCATAAAGATGCAGTCAGTAGTTGATGCGATGGCAATGTTAGGTATGTGTGCCCGTGTGTAAAGTACATTAGTAGATTGAAGTGAACAAGTATTCGCAATTATCTGTAGTTAAATCTCTCTCTGTATATGTGTGTATGCAATAAGTAAATATATGTTAAAGTTGAAAACTGTTTCTTTTTTAAAACGTGTTAAACATTTTCTACTACTTTCGACGAGTCACACAAGTTTGTAGATTTATTCAGATAACAGATTTTACTTACCAATGTGTTTTCTTGTGAGACAGTACTTGAATAAGACTAGTTACGTGTCCTTGGCTACCCACTATATTTCAGGATAACAACCTGAATACTATGAAAATAGATTTAAGACAGATTTGATAAGAACGACATGCTCTTGAGAAGATAAACTATAAAATATAGTTTAGCTGAAGGGTTTATGAGGTATAATATAGAAATATGGGCAGACAAAATTTCTTATGAAATTGAAGGCATCATTTTAAATTTATTTCTGGCATTTAAGCTTTGGTATACAATTATTGGTCAACCTTCAGCATTAGTTTTAAAGCTATAAGAATCAAATGAAACGTGACTTATACTTAGTAATCATTTTTGTTTTGCAATTCTGTAAAAAGTAATAAATATTTTCGGAAGTTATGAATGTAAAAAACAAAAATATTTTAAATTTCTTGCCTATAGAAATTCATATGAAAGTCAATATTTATTCGAGATTTACAGACTAGTCTCGAACACTGACTTAATTTTTCTAAATTTAGAAACTAGAATTTGATGAATAACATATACTTGAAACGCGCGTATATTCAATATCAAATATAATTCCCTACCAAAAATTCGAGCCAATTACTTGGAGCAGGAAAATTTTGTAGAATCTATTAGCAATTTAGAACAAAGATGTTACTACAAACTGTATCAATATAAAAAGCAAGCAAGTTTTTCTGCTAAAGCTCTAAAGAATATGTATCTATTTTTAACACACAGAATAGTCGGTCAATATAGTTCTTTTTTATTTTACTAAACTTAAAACTTAATTTTTCCGACAACAATCATTTTTCCAGACTGATATAAACTCTTTTAAAAACACACAAAGGAGTTATTTTACATTTGTTGTATAATGGAACCCGGTCATGGCTTAGAAACCCAACGAAGTAAAGTGGATTGGGAATGCTTTTATCTAAGATGGGTTATATAGCTTGAGTAAATAAATAAGTGAAAACTTTCATGATCAAGTCAGAAATTAGGAGGTCCCGGTCGTAGACTTATATAAGTAAAGTCACAAAATGATTAATTTTTATTCGCCGTTGGCGAGTGGTTAGCCATCGTTGGAGATGTGGAGAGGCAGATTTTGAAGATTGTGATAGACAGAGGCGATAGGTTAGTCGCCAGACAGTGACAGGAGAAAGATGGTTAAAGTAAGAATTCGGAGTTCTGGCCCGTGGAAGACAAAAGTTGCATGAAGATGTCCAAAGTGTCATCTAACTACCTCCAGACCGTGTTAGACGAATTCGTGAATAGTTAAATATATTGAAAACAGGTTTCTTGTTTTCATTTCTCACGCGCCGTCATTTCATCTTCACTTCTCTTGTGAACGTATACCGGGCTTTTCCCAGTTTTTGTACACGCCGTCGCAAACGAGAATCGAAACACAGCGTGGGGGGATTTGTTTAGTCGCTTAAAGCTCCGACTGTATGTTTACACATTCAAGTATTTTCATATGTAGAACACAATCTGGACTAGAAACAACATCTTTCTCAAAGCGACTCCTATTATAAATTGATAAGACAAAAAGTTGCGCTTTGTCGAAAGAAAGAAGAAACAATTCCAATGAATAAGTTTTAATAGGTCTTTGAATTTTTTTTAAAGAAACGCTTGGATATCCATTGAAATGAGAAAGGGTTCCTGAAAACACCTGCAACTAGACTGGTATTATATGTGATTAATTATTGTATAATGATGCAAAAGTAGTTGGTAGCCATATAAAGTTCACTTTTGAACTGGTAACAATCTATAAGTTTATTTTACAGCGATCACTCGGCCATTGTTAGAGAATTCGTTTCTCACGTCTTATTTTATAAATATGACCTTGAGATAGGCAATAAATTAAGTCGAGAATATCTGTAGCTAGTGTATTTGGAGATTTGTAAAATTAAAAAAGAAATATCTTACATGTTATTCCTAAGAAGCTGATCTCCAATTTCGTTGACATTTCTTTATTTGCTATTCCAATTTTTATCAGACACAAAGCTTCTAGTCAAATTCTAATTAATTTCAATTACACAAAATAATCGTACGATTAACTTAGGTCAACCGAAACAAATAGGTATGGACCACTTTGCTACATATTTTGTGTTCTAATTTCAATAGTTTATTCTATTAAATTACTTAGCAAAATAGTATTTTAAAGACACATCAGATTTTCTAGTCTTCTGCTATAATACAAAAAGAAAACTGTATTCTCAAATGCCTTCTATCGAAGTGCCTAGCTTTGCAGATATTTAGTTCACTTATATTCTATAAATTCAAGCATGTTTCTAAATTTGAACAATTGTTTGTCTTTACCGACTAAGCCACGATACAAGGCTTGCAGTTGGCATTTAGCTGATTAGAATTTAGCAATGCGTTTATTTTCATTGTTGATATTGTTAAGAACATAGTAATCGAAATAGATAAAATGTATTTAGTAGTCTAAGGGAAAGTCAACAAATACAGAAAAAAATTAAGATTAAATCTATCAGTCGAAATGTGGTAGATTTTTTTTTAAATTTAATAGCATATTATAGAGTATTTGGGAAGGAATATGCTAAAATGAATTTACCATTTTCCTAAAAGTACGTGCACAAACGTAGATATTTATGTAGCCTCGCTAATTTTGCAAGTACATAAGTTTAGATAATGAAGTGGTCATGGGAAGTTTCATGCTAATGACATCGTATTGAGCGATGTTTTACAGTCGAGTACACTAATCACAGTTGATAGCAATTGAATCAAGGCATGATTTGTGGATAATTTGTTATACTATACGGACATATAGCTAATATACACAAAATATTGAAATCAAGCGTTGAAAATAATTTGCGCCAGCTTGGCAATGTTACTCACTTGGGTATGTGCTGTAATTTACTCACTTGGTGTGTGATGTAATTTAATCGAATAAAACGTCCTCGTACTCGACCATATTTCTATGTCTGATTCGTTATTTAAACGAAACGAAAATGCATCGTTTTTAAACAAATTCTCACGAACAAATTCTACACTTACTTTTCCTAAAGCCGATTCTCATCCAAACAAGTTGATACTATGTAAGTCCCCCTTTATTATGAGCCCTTTCCGGAAAACCAACGATTGCTTTCAGTTTTGAGACAAACTGTTACAACAGTTGAGATTTCACTTATCCGCCATATTCACTATGTACGGATGACCATTTAATCCGGTCTTTACAACATTGTGCTAATTAAAAAATGTTTAACATAGAATACGGCATATGTCAAATATGGAAAAATGTAATTAAGATTGTGTTGCGCCAATTTTCTAAGTGGTAGGATTTCTCATGCCCTGAAAACCAGGTAGCATACCGATTTCTGAGATCAGTCAACTATCTGAACGATGAAGAAGGAAATTATGATATGTTATTTACAAGATTACGCAAATGTTTTCAACATGTTAAGCAAATAATATAATGTTATCAAATTCTAAGTTTTAAGAACATTTTACCACATTTTATTCAAATATTACTTTTTGTTTATTCCGTGATTTAATTGGCTAGTTTTGTTATTTTAGAGTGAAGTGAACACTATTAACAAACTGAACTTATGTATGCTATCCTCAGTTGAATTATAAATCTTCATTAACAAGAATAAACGCTTTCCTCCTCCATTAATCACGCTAAAAAAAGCAGTAAGTGGTTTATTAACGAAAAAATATAATTGAGGAAGGAAAAGATACACAATATAATGCAATGAATGCGTTTACAAATAAATATATATATATATATATATATATATATATATATATATATATATATACTAAATGGGATGAAGTAAAAACTTGCCCAAGACAATATACTTAAGGCAGTTTAACAAATCCTATATATACGAGACAATACACAAGGTAATATAATACGGATAGAAGGTAATGTAATATATGCATGAGATAATGTAATAACTACACACACAAGGCAATATATTAACATTTACATGCATGGATTGGACGCAAACATCATTATTAAATTTACAAAATTCAAAAATGTCAAAATGTTTTCCAATTAACTTTTGAAATTGATTGATTTGTTTTTTACTAACCCTTTGTGATTTATTTAAAGCCGAAACATTTCGGATTATAGAAGTGTTCTTACGGTAGCCATTGAGCAGGCTCGACACCGCTTACCTTCGGTTATCTAACGAGAACCGGTATTTTCAGCGTGATTTGACCGAAAAATTAATTTTCGAGAATGAGCAATTTAATGGGACGGAACAAAGAGAAGCAAAAGAAGAACATGAATTGCTTCTTTCTCACCCTCTCTTCTTCTTCTTCTTCTTCTTCTTTCTGTCTGTCTGTCTGTCTCTCTCTCTCTCTCACACTATGTTGTGTGTGTGTGCGCGCGCGCGTGAAGAGTCGATGATTCCTATAATTTTTAACATGGGTTTCAGAAATTGAGTTCTTTTCATTCTTTCATTGTTGGAGACTATAATTTTCACTTTATAAATTTTACCGTCTTTGCCGAGGAAAAGCCGTGTGACCAGTTTCGTTTCATCTTTATTGATCTCTTTCAAGCAACATATTATTTCCCTCTTCTGAATTATGTCGCTATTTTCTAAGAGATTTTATTGATGAAACATACAATCGAAGCGCGCTGCTCCCAGATGTTTTAACTAAATTTTAAACCCGTAGTAGTAATTTTACTACTATCGTGGAAAGAGGTTTTTACACTAAAATCGCTTATATATTTTAACCAACGTGTCTTAAGTCGCGATGTGCATGAGACTTCTGCGTGGGACATTAATTTTCTTGCGTACTAATGACATTCTTCCCAAGGAATTTATAGATAAACAACTGACTGAAATAGGGGGTAACAACAAGCAGTCAAATAAGGTGGAATCTTCGTTCTATCAATCTGGATTTATTTGGACTCCAGGAAATTTCATTTGGAATAGTTACTTTGATGTGGAGTGATTCAATCTGGAAACAAATAGCTGTTCCTCCGGTTATCTCCATCATACTGAAACAAGTCCAGAATGAGAAAAAAAAAAAGAGTGCACGAACCATGGATGTTGAATGTATCGAATGGATCAATGATATGTTGATTTACTTATGGAGATTAACATAAATTTTCAGCTTTTGTCTTGAGGCTTGGTGGAGTAGACTCTAACAAAACATCGAAAACTGCATGGCTATGTAGACGGACGAGTTCTTTTCACAATAGAGCAGGATTTTTCCTTCATAGTGATCCGGTAAGAAGTTTACCTTCTTGATCTGAGGTAGTAATTTTGTATATAGAAAACTATTTATTCTTTGCTACTGTATTAGCTACATTTTTACCTCTAAATGTGTTTTTTTTTCGTTCTTTATGATGAAATCGAACGGGAAATTGCTTTTCTTCAAAAAAGTGTTTCATTCTTTTAATAGTTTTCCATTAAGGTAAGGACACTCGAAAGTGATTGGAATATTTCCTGAAGAGGACGTTGATTTTCATCGATTTAATTTTCCGTAAGTCATTTTTCAAAAAGAAATTAAGACTCGAATCACTAGATCTTTGGTTGTATTTTTATAAAGATTAAGAAAGGCGTAAGCCCTACACCGAGCTACTGTTTATAGATGGACCGAGTATGATCCATTTCTTCTTGCAAACCATGTATGCTTGAAAGGAGGTTGAAATTTTAGAAGTTTTCACAGGATGACAAAACTGAAAGCGATTATTATTTATCTTCATCATTTGATAAAAATTTTAAATTGATGTTATTTTTTAATTCTTTCCTCATATTACTTCTTCAAAATAATTTCTTTAAATTACACCATTTTCTTTTAAGCTTAAATGTTCTCTCTATTGTATCTTTTCAGTAACTTTCCTTAACCATCCGCCATTTTAGTCCCATATTTCATTTGACAGGAAGTGTTAGAACTGTAGTAATAGGCAAAGTTTAATAAGTAATTTTTTCGAAATCTTCGTTTGAGTTGACAGGCAGAAAAGGCACACTTCAAAACATACAGAAACTTTCAAGCACACCCACAATCTACAGCCACAGATTATCAACTGGTCATTGACAGCAGTCAATATTTAGCCGGTGCTACATTACACCAATTAATTGATGAGGATTCTCTAAGATTCTTCTCCCAAAACTCAACTTAAATATCTCACATTCGAAGGGGAAAATCTTGCAGATTATTTGGCAATGATTCACATTCGTAATCTTATTTTCGCTATTTTCACTGACCACAAGCCACTGTAAGGATCCTTTCACAGCCATACGCCGGCAAAGTCAGAGCGTCAACAATGACATATATTATTACTCACAGAATATATTGCTGATGTAGCACACGTAAAATATTGTAGCAAACTGTATGTCTAAACCCGCATTAGCAGTGCTGATAAATGCCTGTGATTTGCCGGAGATAATGTAAGCCCAGACAAAAAACAAAGAAATTAAATCCTACTACTTCTACTACTGGAACCTGAAAGAATTCCGACTCACAAGTAATTGTAGAATTTTATGTGACAGTTTTATTTCGTTTCCTAAACCATTCACCCAAATCCATAAAATAGTTTTGTGCAGAATGCTAGCAGTCAAAAGTTCACAGGCATAGAAAATCCGACATCCAATACTTTGAATTACCATCTTCCCGTTTTCAAATAGTGCACATTGATATTGTCGGACCCTTTCCACCAGTCCGTAATATTTCAGACCCTTACCTAAACGCCAATAAATATCTCCTAACATGTATTGATTATACAACACGTCGGATAGAAGCTCAACAACTGACTGAAATAACGGCACAGTCAACAGCAATGGTATTTATAGACACATAGATTACTAGATGTGAAGTTCCACTCTGTCATCACCGACAGAGAAAAAAATTCGAAAGTGAATTGTTTCTAGAACTCTCAAAAGTTATAGGATTCCATAGAGTGGGGATAACTGCTTATGCATCCCATGTAATTGTTTAACAGAGAGAACACACAAGAACAGTTAAAATGGTCATAACAGCCCATAAAGAGTTATGACTAAAAACAATAACGATTGTTCTCCTTGGCATACGCAATACACCTGATGAACCCAGGTTTTCCTTTAATGCATTTACTGGTTCCTCAATACTAATTCCAAAACTATTGATTGATCAACACAATACTAATACAGACAATGCATTTTGTCAGAGAATTATGTAAAATTATGTAGAAATTTTATTTGCATAATTCTGATTAAGGACATCATCATACCAGTGATAAAACAGTTATTCCTAATCCACTAATGTCCTGTGACAGTGTGGCTTAGAATAGATCGGGTTGGAAAACCTTTCTGGGCACATTATAGAGGTCCCTATAAAGTTCTGGTAAGATCATCGAAACATTTGATTTGAAGAATTGCATATATATACAAGTATCAGTTGATAGATTAAAACCATACATCGAGCCAATTCCAAAAGATTCAACTACGCATGAAACTGATAATCAGAATCCAGAGTAGGATATTTCTAACAATAAAAGCATAGAAGATACTGATACTATTACTACTATTACTATTACTACTACTATTACCACTATTACTACTACTACTACTACTAATAATAATAATAATAAGAAGAAGAAGAAGAAGAAGAAGAAGACAAAGAAATCTAAGTCAGGTAGAATAATTATTTGGAAAAAAGATAATGACTACTTCTGTTTCTAAATATGCCTTTTTCCCAGCTCCGTTGTTTTGGGTGGGGACTACTGTAGGCAAAATAATAAATAAACTAAAATGAAAATATTTCTTAAATCTCCTGAAAAGTATCACCTACCGTCTCCTTAACACCTAACTAACATTAACACCGACATTCTTAAGAAAAGGTCAATCGGTCAACTTCGTTTACGAAACTAGATACTTGGATAAATGAAAAAAAAAAAAATCCTGCACCAAAGAGAAGAACAATACCAAAAGCATTCATCGCACTCGCCGACCAATTACTGACCTCAATATAAGCTCAGGAAAAATAAGACCTAGACGTCAGTCCTCTCAACCCTTTCCCTAGTCAGCGGGACAGGTTAGTTCATTCTACTAACCACCAATGAACTAATCAGTACGATTGTTTGCTACAAAGAAGTAGGGATCTCTCTTTCTCTCTGTTGCAACGTACTGCGAGCTACGAACTCTGTCTCACAAGAAGGGTACAACTTTGTATTTATATCTAAATGTAAGTAAACCTTCCAAATCAACGTTTAATCACCGTTCATTCATTTTGAACGTAAGAACCAACAATCTGCCCTACAGAGCTATACACGAGTTTAATAGGTTACTGTATCTTTTAATTAATTGATCATTATCAATTAACAGTAAAATGTATTAGTAAAATTGAGGTATATCATCATTAAATTAAAATACCTCTAATTTAATGTTGGTAAACAATATTAATTTCACACAAGTATCTATGAATTTTTTTCATTTGTGAAAAGTATAAAAAGTTGACTTGAAATTGATCCTTGTTTTCTGTAGAACACGGACATATTGAATAGTGTAGCTGTAGTTTAGTGAACGATATTAAAATTTGTACTGATTATACATATGTAGTGATAACAACAAATAAATCACTAAATAACCTAGTACTAGACTATATAGGAGTATGAAACTTTAAAATATAGATATAAATGATAATTAACAATACATAAAGGAAGTATGTTTATAAAAAAATTGCTAAATAAATATGATTCGGAACAGGCGTTTTGTCGCCAATTGAAACAAACATCTTTTCTCTCTTCACCTTCGGCGGCCAAACGAAGCAGATGTTCGGGGACAACGCTCTGACAGATCTTGTGGCTCCCACGAGATAAGCAAAAGCCTTTTCCCCCTGTATACTTATATGTTCTTTAAAATATGCAATATTTTCTCTGAAATGTATACGAAAACTTTGTATCGTTTTTGTTCACGCTTATTGTATTGTATCTTGTATATAATTTGTTCGTCATTTATACATTTCCTTTGAAAGGCTGATGATATCTTTTAATCCTCAAACGAAATTTTATATATATATATATATATATATATATATATATATATATATATATATATATATATCGGAAAAATGCTTTGATACCACAGAATGAATAGATAGATTTGAATAAACAATTTTTTATGCTCTTTTTTTTTTTTTTTTTTTTTGTTAAGACCTACGCAAACCTTTCGGCCAACGCTTCTTCAGGGACCGATCGTTGGCACAACTGAAGTAATTAGACTGCAAATATGCGGGAAAATTCTTGCAGATAAGGCTGGAACACGTTTAAAAAGTTTTACGATTAAAACTTAAGAGAATAAGTAAATAAACCAACCAGAGCATAAAATAAGTAAAGAAACGCTCACTAACCTCCAAATAAGTTTAGAGACCGCAAAAAATTATCCTTTTGTCTGCAAAAAGATGGTTGCTGCAATTTAAGCCTCCAGAATTAACAAATGGTGTTCGGACCTGCCTATACGCAAAATAGAGAATGACTCCGTCGTGAAACAGGATGAGCACATCTCATTCCCCAATAGGTGTTGTCCGATTGCCGAAACGCGTGTAAAGCGCATGTAAATATGAAAGTGGACATTGAGGTCAACACTCGGCAGTGATGGTCTGTTTCATTTCATGCTTAAACGCAATCTTCTGGCCATTTGAAATTGGCTGAATATTGCAGTTAAACATGAAAATGGATTGACCTCAAAGTTCACTATATATATATATATATATATATATATATATATATATATATATATATATATATATATATATATATATATATATATTTTTTTAAACAGTCATGTTTATATAAACATGACTGTTTAAAAAATTTAAAACATGTTTTTAAATAAGATCATTTCGTAATCACGTATAAGATTTTCTTGTTTCAAGAAAGGTACCGTTGTTATATTTATTCATTTTTATTTTCCTGAGTACTTTCGATATTTTTCAATATCATCATCAGGGTTTTGATGGCTAAGACAAATAATTGTGTTTATCCAAAATAACGGTTTAACCACCAAAACAAAAATTTATTTGGGACAAACATTATTATTTGTTCTTTTATTTCATCATCCTGTTCGATTTCGATCTACATTTGATCTTTAACTCATATTATACAACTTTTATCATGCCTATGCAATATACTACCTGCATTCACACAACTCAAAATAGTATGCATTATATGTACAACGTTCAACTAATCATGCAAAACACGCAAAATACATTAGTACACACATTTACTGGAATGAAGTTTATATTCATGAAACAAAAGTCCAATCCGGAAAAGGGTCAGGGATATGTCGATTGGTCTTGACTGCTACTGTTATTGTAAGAGTGATCGATAAAACGAAATTTAGTGATTCAATAACCTGATTATATTCGCTGCTCACCTTTCTGTCAAAAAGATAAGTACAACAACAAGGAGCTCTCTGTTAGTTTTTTGCGTTTTTATTTCATTTCTCCTTCCTACTCCCTTGTGTGTGTGTGTGTCTGTCTGCTCTACGCAACCGTTCTCTAGCGAAAAAGAAAGTCAGTAGCACAGATTATGATCGGCTAGCAGCTTCTAAATAGCTATTCATCTGTTTCTATTGATATGCTAAGGAAGCTTACACACTAACTCAACCAGTGTTATATATGTGTTCATTTGAATCAAAATATAAACACGGATACTTTCATAAATATAGCAAGAGAATGGAAAGGACGACTGCTTTTTTTGAAATCTCAAAAGGTTTGTATCTTTTTTGTTAGTTTTTGTAAATCACTTTTGTTTTAAGTTTTATTTTTATTAATCATTTTCATAGTCAATTGCTGTCAGTCGGTCACGTTATCATTTATTATTTCTACACGCAGACAGGAATAAAGTCTTCGACACAAACTTATGTGTGAATCTCTTTATTTTAAACTCACTTTTTAGTATAGTTTTAAAACTTGAAATCTAACGTTATATCCTCATTAAACTGCGTACATAATCTTAACTTTATATGTGAACTAAAACACTAATTGTATTATTTATCAATATTAAAATATCAGCAAAACTCATCATGTTACTAAAGAATCGAACTTATTCACCTCTACATCGTTCTATTCTGTACCTGCTCAGTGTAATCTATTCGCTAACGTGGCGTGATTAAAAACATCTATCGCATATTTAGTGATATGACGTGATTAGATGAAGACATGTCTCTAATCACATGACTACTAGGTACACGTCGCAGAGTCACGTGACCAATTAAGTACTGATGTGGATTTGGCCAGGAAAAACGCAAAAGGCAGCCTGTAAGTATCCAGGCTTTGATACTTCTTCCGAGCGGTCGGAAGTGGTCAGAATAAAAGGGACTGTTCACAACCAAAAGAAAAATAACGAGTTGCATTGTTTTCTTGCTACTAACTGAAGATCGTTGACCAATGTACAAACATTTGGTATTACATATGGTATCTTGATATTCGGCTCACGTCCTGCCAAAGACAATTGAATAAAACTCAATTTTTTTTTAGAATAGGTGCTAGCCTAAACACGTTATTTTCTTTTAGATTCGACAAAAGAAAAATCTAAGCTTAATATTTTTTTTAAATTACATTAATCTTTCAGTGCAATTTTGAAATTAATCATGTTGCTGTTCGTAACAATTTTTGAAGATTTTAAAAAGAGTAAATTTTGAAAATGTTCGAGTGTGAACCTTTTTTAAAAAGAATTTTATTTTATCTTTTCTTTTTAGCAACTGTTAGATTATTTTTTATATGGATGTACAAAAAAGAACATAATTCAGATATCTCGCGTCGACTGACTACTGTTCAATATCGGCGGAGTATTCTAATTTCATATCTCCCGTTCAGTTAGTATAAAAAATAAAATTATTCATTGCACTAAGTTTAATAAAAGCGTACAAAATAAAAATTGCATTCTTAAACTATTGGTTATATAGGATTAAAGAAAATTTAGTTTTAAATTATTGACTGATAGATTTCTGTACTTCTCCTGATTTTAGTTTTACTTTTTCACGCGCTTTTTCGAACATGGGTAGACAGGTGGAGAATCAGTGGTTTTCTACATTGTCCTCTGACTTTTCAGGCCACCATACGTAAAAAAAAAGATTAATTTTATATGTTTTAAGTAAGAGGTAAGCATTACTTTTAGAAAATCCAGTTAATTAATCCTTAATTTTACTAACAGACTTTGAAACTCATCTCTAGGACAAATATTGGATTTTAAAGAGAATTTTAAATTTGTTGTTTACATTTTTCTTAAACAATGGCGGCTCGACGAGTGATGAAAAAAATGCCTAAAAACTTTATTTATATACGACGATTATTTTTTTTTTTTAATTCGGATTAGATTTAGACTATTTTCTTTCAAACACAACCTATATTTAAGTTCAAAGAAGGCATTAAAAATATTAATAAAGTGTTTTTCGGGTTTTTTAGAAAGTGTGTGGCGCCACCTAGAAATGTCAGAAAATGTCACCAGATAATTTTCCATCGAATAAGTTCAAATACATGTAGTCAAAATTTGACCGCTGTATTTATTGCAATCCAGATTAGTTACACTGAGGAGTGATTTTATTTTCATTCATGTTCATTCTTTAACAGAAGGTCTGACAATGGACGGTGAGTAATTTTTTTTATAGAGTGTATCGAAGGACCTATTTTCCAGGCACAAATGTGTAAGTCAAGAGTTCAACCTCAAAAGCAAAAATCTAATGAGTAAAAAATGATAATCACTGGCGAAGCGGATTTCCTCGATATTAGTAATTTTATACGCACACGCACATCTATCTATCTATATATATATATATATATATATGATAAAAATATAGTTTTAAGTTATATTTATAGGTAAAAGTGCTCATTATTAAGGACAGATTGTGTGTAATGTCGACACTGAGGTCAACACCAAGTGGCTAAAGTAATCAGGTTATATATGTGGGTTGGTAGATCGACTATTTATATATGCTGGTCAATGGAGCATTATGGCAAACAAAGTCTGGTATTTCCGGTATATTGTGCTATCCTGGGATAGGCAGGAACGATTATAATTTAAATTATTCTAAGGGCTATAAAATAGGAATAACTATGGGCCAGAATGCGGTTATTTTAAAGCTGTTGTATGGCATTGTTTGTTACATTTTAACTCATTATTTATTATTCATTACTTAGGATATTCTTTTATTTATTCATTAATTATTCGTTGTTGAGTAACTAGTAAATTTACTTCGTTTCAGTTGTGTGTGCATTCGTACAGTTGGTTAATTTTTTTATTATTAATTTAATTTGTTTATTTTTTTAATTCATTTGTCTTTTTTAGTTTTGTTATTTATTTGTCTAGTATCGGCTCTGTAGTTATTTCCTTTGGTAGGGCCTTTACTACATAAAAACTTCATTTACTGTGAAGTTATCTTTCGGGTTTCTTCTGTTAAAAGGAGTTAAATGGATGATGTTTAGTCTTGCTTCCTGTTGTTCCGTAGACATGTCTGAAACTGAAAATGTAACGTCTTCCATTTTTACAGTCATGTTCGTTTGTGTGGTTACCAGTTGATCCGACGTGGAAGTTGGTTGGAGTAAAAAAACAAATTAGACACTGGTTTGGAGAAATTACCAAACATTTATTTTCATTTACAAGATATGATAAGTCTGGTAAGTCGTATAGTGTAGTATTCGAATGTATGGTATGTACGAGGTGTGAAATGAGATCGTGAACAAGGAGTATGCTTAACCCAGCTGACTGCTTGTTGGCTATCGGTTTGAGCTTGTTCCGTTGATAGTGGAGTCCGTTCTCTTTTATGTTCACAGGAGGTCGGTTTCACATTCTAATAGTCAGACGCACAGTCAGTCGTGCTCTCGGATAGCCTCTATAGTTAGCGTGTATGTGTGTGAAGTCTCTCTCTCTCTCTCTCTCTCTCTCTCTCTCTCTCTCTCAGCTCTCTCAGCTCTCTTCTCTCTCTCCGCTGTCCGGCTTTTCTTATAGTCTATATAAAGGAAACGTACGCACGTAGTTGTAGATATCTGTGGCAAACGAGAGTCGCGTCGATAATGGCCAGCACTGTGGTATATTAATTTAAAAAATATTTTGAGCAGAGTGCGGCGTGTGTGTGACTTAGCTAAACGAAAATTGGTGTTAGAGATATATGTTTTCTAATAATTGTATAAATTTGGGTTTAATTTATTATATCTAACTACGTGTAAATTGTGTTTTTCTGCTACACTCTCAGATGATTAAAAGAGAGCAGTTTAGTTTTGGAGATAATGCACATAATGTAATATACTTTAAACAAAGCCTATACTTAAAACTGGGCACATAAATAAGATAGCAAAACTCTCAAAAAAGAGAAATGGAAATAAATAAATTAATTAAATTAATAATAAAATTAACAAACTGTACGAATGCACGCATAACTGAAACGAAATAAATTTAATAATGATACTCAACAACGAATAATTAATGAATAAATAAATAAACCCTAAGTAATGAATAATAAATAATGAGTTAAAATGTAACAAACAACGCTATACAACAGCCATAAAATAACCGCATTCTGGTCAATAGTTATTTCTATTTTATAGCCCTTAGAATAATTTAAATCATAATCGTTCCTGCCTATGCCGGGATAGCACAATATACCGGAAATACCAGACTTTGTTTGCCATAATGCCCCATTGACCAGCATATATAAATAGTCGTGCTACCAACCGACACATATGACCTGAAATCAAGAATGAATAAGACTGACGCCACTCGGTGTTGACCTCACTGTCCTCTCTCTTCTCTCTCTCTCTCTCTCTCTCTCTATATATATATATATATATATATATATATATATATATATATATATATTTACCTTTCTTTCTTTCACTCTTGTTCTCAGTCTATTGTTTGAAATTAAGAGTGAAAAAATATCTTTTTGAGATAAAATAAAAAAGGTTTTCCAACAAGCTGCAAACTTTGTAAAAATTGTGATATTTCCACTAACAATGTTTATCTTTAATTAATGGCAATGGAATTATCAGTACCTTTAATATAGTTTACGCATTATTTTAACGTTAATAGTATTTTAAAGATAATATGCCTTTGATGCCAAAAATACGATCATAACGAATGGATCACTTCAGATGCATATAACTAAGAATCATTTACGCACTTAGTATGTTTCAAAAACTTAAGTATCATTAAACTTTATAAATTATAAGTAACCCAGAAACAATATTACATTCGATAATTCAAAGAGTATCTCTTGGATCAAATAATCATACAAAATACAGATTTTGTGACGCACAGAAAAATCGATTAAACAAAGGTATACAAAGGTCTTCTGTGCTTGTTTTGTCAATTTCCATCTTTCTTGCATACGAATGTTGAAAGTTAAGTAACCACTGTCTATTAATTTCATTTACCGTTATTTTATGTCTATTTTGCCTAAGTTTGTTTACAAACAGGAATCTAAACACATGCGCGCACACTCACAAATATAATCTATTGACCAGCCTCAGAAAGTTCCTCTCGTCTTTTATTTGTTCTATTCTCTCTGTTTTGTTTTCCTTTCAGTTTGGAACAATACTATTTGATATATAAAGCCATGATGCAGATTGTCTAAACGCTTTAAGACAAGTTACGGCAGTAAACTAACAGATGCGTATAACTAGCCGCACTCTACATAAAATGAGCCAAAAAAGAAAGATCAATATAATTGAGCAATGGATTAACTGTGATATGCCTGTGAAGGTTATCAGCGCGGAAAGTGGAATCTGTGAACAGAGTTCAAGATTCGACCCAGTCTAGTCTACTGCGTTCACTTTCTTACTAAAGCCATCTCTCCTCTCCACTCATGGCTATAGATTAAATAGCAGGTTAGACTAGACTCTTTAGTCCTTAGGTAGCAACTACACTGGGGGAACACAAGAGGAAACTACTCTACTACCTTTCCCAAAAAGTCATGGTGCAACACAATGTCCCCGCTCGAGTGGTTAGAACACCCACTTACTCAAGTGGACTATAAATGCTTTTATCTGGACCTGAATTGACGACGGTTTTATGACTACTGATGGTGTCGCTAGTAAAATGGAGAAGACAGGAGTAGCAGTGAAAATGTCCAAAGTATCACTTAGCTCCCCCAGACAGTGTCAGGTAAACTGATCCATGAATAAATAACCCGTTTATCGGAACCAACAGACTTATCTTTCTCAACAAAGTGATATCTCGAGACGGACGTATTACATTCTCCTCTCTCCATCTCGCCTTCAGTGTATTTATTGATCGTATACCGGGCCTTTCCCAGTTTTATTCACACCGACGCAAACAGGAATCGAACCAGGACGTAGGGTAGAAAAACTGAAGAATCAGTGCGTATGTTCACAATGGCAATCCCAGATGATAAAGAAAAAGTGTCTATGTGGAGCCATGATCGATAACGTCTTGAAGGAACATGACAAAAATGTAAAAAAAGCATTAAAGAGAATCGTGCACTTTTAGGCCAACGCACGATTATAAATGAAAAAGAAAAAAGTATTCTGACAAACCATTTTAGCTTTATATGTGTAAACACAAGTTTAGTGGATTAACCGATATAGTGTGAATATTTAGTTGCTAATTACATATGACATAATCTATAATCAACGTCAGCGACCAGCTATAATACTCTTAACTAAAAAGATTATAACATTTTGCTAATTATACCAAGTACTCATGACTGGACTTACTATCAAATATTTTCATGTTTTCAACTTAATGCAAAATTAAGCTGATTCTTGAAAAAGAATTATTGTGAAACAAGTGGTATTTCATATTTAACATGTACGCTGATTGAAAGTGAATGGAGAAATTGCGTAACACTTTTCTTGAAGAAAACTATCTTTACATTCTGCATGCGATAATAGACATTTGAAAACAATTAGTAGTGCTGAAAGCAAATATGCTATCGTTGTGCCTACTGAACATATATATAGTTTTAAAAATGAAAGCAGTTTTCTTTTAGTCCGTGCGTATGATGGACAATGAGGGTAGAATATTTTAATTCCATTTTTCATGTTTAGGAGATATAGTGTGTAAGTTCCTTGTCACAATTCATAAGTGGCGACCCAGACACATACAAACAGGTGATGGTTAGCGTTAGAAACATTCTTTAAAGTAACAGTTATCCTGCAAGTATAACAACAATTTCTACAACGAAACTAATACAAATAATCTGTCATGATCTGTTTGCCATGTGCATTTCAACTCTTTGAAGATATCTCTCTCAAACATAACCATGAACTGCGTGTATTTCCTCCCATGTAGTTGTGGTAAGTAATACTAGGAAGAGACCAGCCGCCCCTAAAAGTAACGGTGGAAGAACATCGAAAGTTTGTAGTCCGGTGCGAGACATTCAAATGCGGTACTGCTGATCATGTACAGAGGGGAAAGGGGTTATCATCAATTTCTGTGAAACGAAGTCAGAATAATAGACAGAGAACAACATTGGGAGATAAGACAGCTGAAAAAAAATCAGTGGCTGATATGTTAGATTCTGACAATCTTCTCGGTAGACCTAACACATAAATGAACACTATCTAGGATTAGAAAGAAAGGACACTCAAGAATTCCATCACCTGAATTATACCACTGGATTGTCCTCTGACAGCTAGGAGTTCAACTCCTGAGACACGTAGTGCGGGAAAGTAATATCCTCTTGTTTAGTGGAAGAAACGAACAAGCGACACAAAAGTCAAAGTAAACTGGAGAGTATTAATTGATATATCCCCTAAACATAAAGATATCTCATAAACATGGAAAGTAGAGTGAGCACATTCTGCCTTCGATAATTAAATAAAATATTCGGTTCAAAATTCCAAAAAAGTTACAACAGACACCTGAAGAAGGCCAGAAAGCACAAAACATCGAAACGTTGTGAACGTATCATCTAAAATAAGTATATTTGCCTGAAGGTAAAACACATAATACTAGTCTTGTGCCAAAATGCTACAAGTATGGTGCATCCGTGAGGATCGAACTCACTACTAACAATTTGCAATATTAGTTTGCTAACAATTACACCACAATAATCCTCCCTTCTATAGAAGTAGTAAGGCTACTAAACGCTGTTAGCGTTAAAAACAGCTTCTTTCATCATCGTTGAATTTTTGCTGTGCTGTTGGATTTGATCATTTATATAGGATTAGCCATGGTTCGTTAAGAGACTGTGGCTTTTCAGAAAATTCATAAAAAAATTCTATATAGCTTCTGTAAAAGAATTAAACTTAGTAACATCTCATAATATTACACGGTTTAGCGCTGTGTTCTTTCGTTTTGATGACATATGGACTTTGAATAGGAGATCAAACTATGACTGACGATTTATATGGAATAGCTTACATGGCTTTATGGTTCTGAAATGCTTATTTTCCTCTAATTTAATAGAGTTTGGCTGATGCAAGCAGGACTCTGGAAATCATATCCTGAATGGTAAGATAAGGTTGAGCGTGATCGTGTTAATGAATGAGGCTCGAATTACTCGTTTTCACTATTTTGTACACTTTTCTGCTTGAAAATCGATCGAGTTGATTGTTGAAGGCTACCGTTTCTTTACTGACAAAGGTAGACATTTCCTTGTGATATGAAGTATTTGTAATATTGTATTTGTAATGCTTAGTTATGGTTAATTTAGCTAGTATTGTCTCCTGAGTTGGGATGATGACAGGAGGGGAGAGTTGAAATAAAAAAAATATCAAAGTTCGAAACATCTCATCCTTTAAAATCAAGTTTTCTGGGGCATGGTTTATAAAAAAGTTTTGATTGGTTATTTAACTGTTTTTTATCTGATGAACAATTAGAGATGTTTTTTAACATAATACTTTTATGTCAAATTTTCCGGTTAATCCATAATTCCACATTTTTTATTCCACATATACCAGTGGTCCTGATGAGTTTCTGGATCGAACTATTTGCCAAAATCAATCATTTAATAACTAAACACCAGA